GCTCAAATGAGAGTCATCATTAAGATTATAAGAGGAGTGTTTTATTTCATTTCATTTCACTGTCCATCTGTTGTTGCCCTCTTATGTTAGGAAAGTGGACTTCAGACCAAAGACAAGTACAAGCGAACTGAAGATCGCTTTTATAGGATCGGTATGTGAATGTAATGAATTGCTACATGCTGTTTAAATACATGTTTTCTAGTTAGCTTTAGCATATTGGTTTAGAAAATATGTGTAAATCAGTTAAGGTTAAGGATCGTTTTTGCCTCTCTGATCGCTTACAAGTTTTGAGGTGTGCCTGTTTATTTAAACCCACAGGTCAGTTTGAAAAGGGTGTGGCTGAAGGGGCTGTAGATCCTTCGCTGAATCCTGTTGTTGCGCTCCGACTTTCGGTTCTCAAGGACTCTGCTGTGTGGGCCATTCTCAGTGAAGTAAGCCAATCACACTTGCCATCTGTTGATGTGTTGCACAATAAACAATGAATATCAATGCACTAACTCCATGGTTGTACCTGTTTCCCCACAGATACATATAAAAAGGGTAACAAGCTGAACGGTCCTGAGGGCCTACGTGAGTGATGGCCCCTGGGGAACAGAGCCCCCCTAGGCTGCTTATGCAGGGCCCCTGGCACCTAGCGACCAGCAGTAAAGTCATTAGGGCTTAGAGTTGCTCGTCCGAGCTTGTCTGACGAATGCCACCTGTTTGTCCCCCGCTCTCCCTAATATACTTTTGCTTCTCATCAGTCTGTTTCTCCCCTTCTTCGTTCTTCTCTCCCTCACTCTTTTGCTCTTCGTTTATTTGTGAGAATGTGAATACTACTGTCTGACAAACAACAGCGGAGTGTGTGAGGACTTCTGATCCATGCTCTGTTGTTAAGCAGCTTTTAAAACAATCAGAAAAAAAATACTGGGACAAATTAATCAAGCATCTGAGGGAGAACCGGTCACCTGGCCACTGGTGTAGATGCTGCCAAATCCTTCAGTTACTCAATGCTGCCACCTTTTGGGCGAGCTGGGGCATTGCACTGTCACTAGCGCCTCAGCGAAGCCTGCCATGATCAAGAATGTTGTCATCACTAGTGGCCAGTTGCTCTCTGTTCTCTGCAGAGATGACGGAGCTCCAGATCAACACCAGCCCAAACATTAGAAAAAAATGTTTCCATCTAGAAAGGTGTGGGTTCCATTTAAATGCTCAGCTTATCCTGAAACACACACTCAGGATGAGCTTACCGTTAAAAAGATCCTGCCTGTAACCAGACGGTGACACCTTTGACCACATGCCAGTATCAGTGGTAACTACCCTACTCCATGAAGACAATGAATACCAACACCTCTTATCTGACAGGCTGTGTATGACCTCAGTGTCCATTTATAGGAAATCAATCGGACATTGCCTTGGCACCATTTTCCTGAAGGAATATATTGTTATATTGATATATTATTACAGCTACGACTGACGATCTATGAAGGTGATTTAATTTATTTGAAATAAATCTTTAATTTGTACAAGAGGTAAAATATATTTTTATTCTATCAAGAGATGTTTATGGTAGTTCAGAGTCTGTGTCTTTGTGTACTTTTGTGCGTTTTTCTTTTCTAAATGCTATTGTACATATTATTTTCATTATAACAGCTACTTGCAGTTGCTTTCTCTGTCAGTACAAATAGCTTGGTTCAGTTTCTTATTGTTTCTCTCCTTTTGACGCAAAATGTCATAACTAATTTATTGGAACTGATAAAAAAAACTTGATCGTAGGAAATCTGCTGAACAAAGCTGTAGGTGTGGGTCGAAATTGGTAATATGTGCCTTATATGTTGGTCCCTTGAAAGTATTTAACGTTATTCCCGCTCACGTTTGCCTACACGTCAATTGCTGGATATACTAATGTTTTGAATATTTTGAACCCACACAGTCCAATTAGTGATTGGATGTCAACGACAATAATTGTGTGTTGTGCTGAAAGTGGTAAATGAGCAGGGTTTGTGCCAGACGACCATCTGAAACGGCGTGATTTGCACTGCTTTCTTTGTTACAATCTTAGCCTTCATCGCTGTACCCAGTTTTCCATTTTTCCCACATTTTTTCCCTCCACATTGCAATTCGTTTGTCCAGTCATGTGTCAGTTTCTTTTGATTGGACATAATATTATGACTACTGATAATTGTGGAGAGTGCCACTGATTGTATATATAAATACAGTAACAATTTATGTCTCTCTATTACTTCCTCTTGCCTCTCTGATAGTTTCTAGAAATCAACTTGTATTTGTGGCTGATTTACTGAGTGGAAGCTGTTTTAAAGTGGAACTTCACTCATTTTTACTTGTTAAAAGGGTTTTTTTCAAGGGGGTAGTGAAGTGCCTTTTGGTGGAATCAATATGAATATTTTTTAATTGACTAATCACGCTTGTTCATGTGCATTATTATTATTTGTAATTCATTAAAAAATGCCTTTTGGGTCATAGCAGGCTCCTCTGCCCCCTGATCAAACCTGAGCTGACTAAAGAAAAGTGGTACATTCTTCACATTTACAGAGGAGATGGGAGAAAATGCAACTCAAGTTGCTGTTTTGAGAGTTTGCTGCATCCATATTTAAACAAACTGAATACATGTAAACGGCATGAAACGGTCATTTGATCCTTAGGACCCCGCTCCTTCCTGCATTTGTAGAAAGCAGAAGGCAAACAGGAAAGGAGTGTTGCTTCATAGCTGCCGCTCACCTCCAAACACACATCAGTTCATGTGCCTTCATCGTGTACATGTGTATGCCTGACTTACATCATTTTTCATTGGACATCTTCCCAAATAAATGCTAAAGGTTGTTACGAGCCATGGCCATTTTGTGTTGATTTTGTTCTACTTGCATTATTCATGTCATCTGCATCACCGGGTTTAATTAAAGACATTGAAAACTTTGCAAATAAGACCTAAAAGTCCAGCGTCTTAAGTTTTCGCAAGTTGATGAATACAAAACATACAAGGAAAACTACAGTCGTTCCCAGCATGCATAGCTTTTCACGGAGTACTTCCGTTTTCCCATCATGCCATTTCAGAAAGATGGTAGCTTACAGCTTTCATAATAACGTCGGTTTTAGTGCTGTGAACTAGCTGATTTTTCTCACTTGTTAGTTTACTAGTACGGTGATAACTGGTGTTAAATTGAATTCCGAACAATGCCGAAATATTACGAAGACAAAGAGGAGGATAACAGAGCATGCGCAGGCATCAGAGAAGACTTTAAGGCATGTCTCCTTCAGCACGACTGTGTTGTTAAGGTAAGTTAATGTACCCTAGTTGAGGGTGCTTAGCTTAAAACCAAAGCAATCAATTCTGTTACACCTAAAAGACAATCTGGAGACAGTCAGAGCCATAAATAAAGCGCAGGAAAGAAATACTTGTGAAAGATTCCTGAGGTTAGCCATGCTTTGTAGCCTACCCACTGTCCTAGAGTACAGCCCATAGACAGTGCTTTAGTTTAACAGCTGCTAGAAACTATATGGATGACATATTACCCGAGATTGTTATTGGTTGTCCTTCTTTCTGTCGATTGGCGACACTTGTTTACCTTAAAACTTACACCTGTCCTACGATCGTCATTTCGCTGGGTTGTCAAATGTTGCCAATAACAAGAATTGGCAGCACCACATTAGCCAAGTCGGCGCAGTCTCCCCAAAATACATGTTTGCTTGGTTTTTTGTGCCTTTAACTGACCGGAGCTGTGGTCGAATATAATAAATAAATAACAACTACTTCGTCTTTTTCTTGACCTTGATAGAAAACACCATGAGGTCGTGGAATAGCGAAAGACTTGGGTAAACAGGATCAGAAAGCCTGCAGGCTCTGCCTCCCATTCTACTTTTAAAAATACCTTTAATCACAAGTAAATTAACAGTCCGAGAGCCAAGCGATTCAAGACTTTCTGTGTGAGAAGGATTTAACGGGGAGCCAATGAAGAGAAGCCAGTATGGGAGGAATATCCTCTTTCTAGTCCCTGACAGTGCCCTCGCTGCAGCAACTGAAAGCTTTTCAGGGAATTTTTAGGACAGCGTGATAATAATAAATGACAGCAGTCCAGCCTATAAATAATAAATGCACCCTGTGTCACGATATTTTTAATTTTAGAGATATTGTGCAGGTGAAAGAAAGCAGTCCTACATATTTAGTCAGAAATGACTCCAAGAATCCTCACAGGAATCTTTCCCTGAGGCCGGGGTAACTCCTTCCATAGCAAGTATCATCAAAAAAAGAAAGCTCACAAAGTGAAATAAAATGTTTATCACTGTGAGGTTACATGAAAAAAAAACAGGTGGTGATCCTGTCCACTCTATGAGTAAAGAGGATCCAGTGTTTAATGGTATGTCACCGATGCCAGTTATACTTGTGTTTATATACAGTGTGGATATAATGTACATTTTACTAATAGGAAGGGCCCAGTGTATGAAGTGGTTTCTTATTTTTTCAGGAGGGAAAGAAACCCAGTGAGTGTCTAAAGGAAGGCCACTGCAAAGCCCTGCAGACATCCTTTTTTGAGTGCAAGAGGTCAATGGTAAGTTTTAGAAAACAGTCAACTAGTCATTAAAACAGAGAGCTTTCTAATTTCTTATAGGGGCTTATTGTGCAGTTAAAAAAAAAAAACTTAACCAAGATCATCTGTTTACAGCTGGATGCAAGGTCAAGATTCAGAGGAAGGAAAGGAGAATGAGGAACCAGGCGAAATCTGATGCATCTTTTTAGGGTTCAAGCAGCTCCGAGTACGTGCATTGATGTCCAGGGAATGTTCCAGCGTTACAAATACCTGCTGTGGACATGTGTTGAGAAAGTTGGTGACGCACTGAAAACAGGATTACCGACTAATCAAGCGAAGTGCAGGACTGGGGACAAAACCTGTACAACTCTTCTGATCGATGGGAGTTTTTATTTCTTGGGAGAAAAATGTTGGATGAGTGTGTGTTTAAGGAAGTGCAAACACTTGTAATAAACCAATGATTACAATGGACAAGAGTTTGTTTCAAAACATTATATTGAACTTCTGATTGATAGCAAACTTGTCTACAGTATAAACATTATACAAATGAGGTGTCCTACAGAGAGGCAGTGCTATGTTAGTCAGTTTCCAGGTGTAGCTTGCAGTTTCTGCTCTATGCAGGGTGCTGACTTATGACCACCATTGCAAACAGTTTCTTCAGTCACAGAACAAGCAAATCAAGTTCTTCATGTCCTCCCCATGTACCTTCACAGTTGGGTCATTCCACAATTAAAGTCAGTTCAACGCCTTCAGAATTAGACTATAATTAAAAAACAAAACAAAAACAGATGTGGCTCAAACTCTTCATTTTTGAGTCCATTTAAGAGTGAGCTCAAATTCAGTGTCATTAAATAAAGATAAGTCTGATTTTTATTCAAGACCTTTTTTTTCCTTCTTATTAACTCTGAGCATCGATATCATGGGATGTGTCTGTTTCAGTAGCAAAACTACAACACTTGTCCATCACAGTAATTATGAAGGAAATATAAAGGCTTTCTAAAATCCTAGCGGGAGATTGGCCGATCACAACAGTGATTATAAACTTTCTGTTAAGCAGGGCTCTTTATTTTAGGCTCCGCATTCTTTCACATAATAATGGGTGTTTTACATGCCACGCAACTCTTCCATATGAAGGCATGACTATAGCTGAGCAAATCATCGACTGGTGGTTTGATCAGAATACAGAATTAGAATACTTTATTAATCCCTAAGGAAATTATGTCAATTTTAATACTCGAACAGGGACTTGGACCCTCAATCATCGCATTCACAAACCTGGACGTCCATGTTAGCCGCCCCATAAAAACAAACCTGTAAAGGTGCCGCTTCTGGCGGATTTAAATATTATTGTAAAGCTGCCATCATCATCTGCTTGAACTTCTCCAAGTCCACCTTCCTCATGAGACAAACCTCGCGAGCGTCCTTCAGGAAACCCACAGTGTCTACTATCATCATGCCCCTGGTGTGCGTGCCTGACAGCTCCACGCTGACTGGGTATTGGTCGCTTTCTATGATGAACGAATCATCTATGGCGGCAGCCACTGCATACGAGTCGCAGGAAATGAAACCTGAACCGCCGACGCACTCTTTCTGCAAGCGTTCAGTCTGCGCCGCCTGGTAGCTGTGGTGGAAGATCTTCTTCATGAAGCGAGCTTTACTGGTGTTCTGCGCCAACCATTCATCGCAGAACTCCTGTTGAAGTGTGAGCAGAGAAAAGTGTTTTGTTTTGGTCGCTTGACGACAAACATGTAGCACGAATCAACTTCTAAACACTAAAACGTGTAAACACAGGCATTACCCAGGTTAACTTGTTGTAGCAGGTGAACTCCCAGCCGGCCAAGTAGGTGGGACAGCGGTACTCTTTAAGCACGATGTATGCAGCTTCTGGATCCACAGCAAAATTAAACTCCCCACACACTGTGGTGTTCCCTCGAGCTGGATTACACAGGGTAGAGACAATAATGAGAACCCCACACAGACAAAGATTACAATTCTGGTGAAAAAATAATAAATTACCAGTTGATATTTGATGGACTATGTTGTAAACAAAATGTTACTGATAAATCCAATTACCTTGTTTTGTTTTGAGATTAATTTAAACTGAAAGGGTGGAAAGCAATACTTGGAAAACTTCATAAAGTTTGGTAATGAAAAGCAACAGCTAACGACTTAAATGTTCCATCAATTAAATAATTGTTTCTGCTGTTAGAATGGGTCCACTGGTTATTTAGTCACGTCTATCCGGAAACACCATAGAATTCATTCTAATGTGTATTTCTTCATAAACAGTTTATATCCTCTGGCCCTATGTAGACTTATGAAGCGACAGTGTTTTACTGACATTCAGTGTTGCCTCCCATGATGTAGAGGCCTTTGAGTTTGCTCGGCAGAGATGGATCCATCTTCACAGCCAGAGCCAAGTTGGTGAGGGGTGCCGTGGCAACCAGAGATACCTGGGAGAAGACACACGGATTAAAATTTTGCAAAAAGCGCACTCGTGCAAGCACAGAGAGCTTTCCCCCAGAACCTTTTACGTGATAAAGAAAATGTCACTGTGATATTAATGACATTTATTGCTGACATAGCGACGTCATGTGTTTACTTTCCCTAGGGCACATGATGAGAGGAACCCAGACATCTCAGAGAGCGAGACAGACTGTCATATTTGACAGCAACTTACAGGAGAAATATGAGGGTCTATCACTCACACATTCCTCACCTCTCCTGGGTTCTCGTTTACAATCCTGATCATAGCAATCGCAGCGTTTTCCTTCTGAACAAGCTCCAAACCGGGAGCCTTGGAGTCAGGAGCGTCACCCAGGCCATCCTTCCCGTGGAAGTGCCCCGAGCTGATGCCGCTGTCGCCGAGGATCGGCATAGCAGCGCCTTTAAACACCGGAATCTGCAGAAACATGCAAACGCAGAACCGGTTATAATTCATCCCTGCTTTTATTCCATCAGCATTCCCAAACCAACTTCAGCTTTTAGGCAACTGTAACATTCAGACTTCTGTTTCAAGCTAGAACATACTGCCACTAAGCAGCAATGGCATTTTTATTTATAGAACAAATTTCATTATGTTCAAACTCAATGTGCTGAACACAGAGGTTTAAATATAAAAAGCTTTTGAGTCTGTTTCTGTGTGTTGGCACAGATGTAATTGATCTCAGGTCAGCAGCTTGTTACAAAGAGCTGGAACACACTAACTGAAAGCACCTTCAGCACACTTAGATTTCATTCTGGGAACAGTTAAACCATCTGCTGATGACCTGAGAGGTCAGAGTGGCTCGTAAACAAGGTTGTAAACGGGGGAGCAAATCAGATTAGTCAATTATGAAACTTACGTGAATTTCAAGAAGTGGGTAGAGTTTATTACACCTTCTGTGTGCATGTGAATTGGGGTGGCTGTAGCTCAGGTGGTAGAGCAGGTCATCTGCTCATTAGAAGGTTTGTGTGCCAAATATCCTTGGGCAGGATACTAACCCCAATTTGCTAGAATGAATGTTACATAGCAAACACTTAGAAAGAAAAAAAATTGTATAAAATCGATTTTCGGATTCATCCCTCTCAGCAGAGGTAAAACAGTGCTGTGAGTGACCTTCCACCTTCTGACAATGGTCATTCTGTGGTAAACATAATAAGAACAGTATTGGTTTACTTTAGCAGGGAAGCTAGTTAGTGCTGATCGCGAGGAAAAGCCCTCTCAGCTTTGTATATCAATAAAACCAAAATAATTATCTCTGGAGTAACATCTGAATATATTCTGTTCTTCTTTCTCCTAGAAAGAAAAAGCTGAAAGTATTCAGAGTGACCAGAAGCAGATGAGGGAGAGGCGACTACAGAGCTCAACCTAACATAGATAGAAGGATAGATAAAAATCTTTATTTCCTCCAAAGGGAAATTCAAATAAAATTTCTAATTAAAGCATTTGATTATAACAACAAAAAAAAAAAAACAGCATAAAGGAGCAATAAAAATAAAGGTGGGCTCACCACTGAGAGTACTATGCTCGCCATGCTGTGTGTATTTTAATAACAGATACAGCCTGGTACATCCTCCAGGGTAAAGAGGGTTAATAAAACACCTGATTTATGTTACTCATTTATCCTGAAGCCTTTTTGAAGCGGCCTAAACTGGCAGTCTTCTGTTTTGTATGTTTGGAAAAAAGTACAAAGGTACATCTCCATGTGGAAGGATTAACTTGAGAAATGGATGAACATAAATCCTGTAACTTGTGTGCTCATTTCTCTTTATTCATGTTATGAATACATGCATAAAAAAAACTAAGTAAATGTCCACAATTGACCACTTTGACAAATCTGAATTAACAAAAATATTCCTCTGAGTGAGACGAGGTGCTTTGTGTTTAACTTTGCCCAATTGTTTCCAAGCAGTAGCTGGTTTAATATAATAACTAATATGTGAGATGCTTAATTTCATTTTCAGAGAATTTGGACAAAACTAGAGAACTAAAGCCAACTCCTTCAAACTGTCCACTTTCTGCATCGGGTCATGTGGCATGAGGAACAAGTCCTCATTGTTAGACAATTCTATAAAATGCAACCTCGCTTATCACATGAGGCCAGGAAATTCCAACAATGTCACGCTACTTGATTTTAACACGAGTGTGCAACTACAGAGCATCCTACCTCGAGGTGACTGCAGGCTTGCAGGACTCGCAGTGCGTTTTTACACACATTCTCCACTGAGGTGTTTCCATGCACACAGGTAATGCCCAAGATCTGCACATTGGGGGCAGCCAGGGCCATCATGATGGCCTGAGCATCGTCCACGCCACAGTCCACATCCAACAGCAGCTTCTTCCTCATCCTGGACCCTGCGGTAAGAACACAGTTATCCAAGTGTCTGGTTAAACTAAGCTGAAAGAACACGGTCTTTGCACTATGATAAAAAGGGCAGGAATCAGCTACAACACCTCAGTCAGTGAACCTGATATGAAACAGAAACGTATGCTATTTTCACATCATTACCTGCAGCAGTGTGACAGAAGGATAACCTGCAGTGGGTCACTCTCATAGACGGGAACCGGTTCAACTGGAAACAACCTTTGAACAGCAATAAAAACACGAAAAGCTGAATGGACAGTGGACCTTATCCTAGTAGCAAAAGTTAATATTCCATCTACTTTATGGTCTGCTGACTAAAATTCATAATCTGTGACGGAACTACAATCAACCTGTGGAAAGACTGCTTCCTTAAATCCTTCCTACAAAGCGCTTTTTGCAGAAGAAATGTCCCTGAAATGACAGAATAAAGCATCGATGCTGTGTTTTCTAAAACTAAGCAGTCAGTTAAACGCAGTAAAATAAACGTAAACAAGCAAAGTCTGATTTGAGTCCAGCAAGAAAAAGTAACACGTTAATCCCTCACCTTTCCACAGAGGTCGACAAAACATCAGCCACTGCTACAAAGTCCCACAGAAACACAAACAGACAATTGGCGGGCTGCTTCTGGGTCCTTCTTCTTCGTCTTCTTCTGCCGCTGGTTCTTCTTCGGTGGTTAACACTAACAATCGGGTAGATTACCGCCACCCAGTGAGCTGGAGTGATATTCTGCAGCACGGGATAGGAGGTTCCCAGTTTATCTTTTTATTTATTTCAAATTTTATTTAATTAGTGACAAATTTAATTATTTAATTATCCACCCGCTTATCCTTTTCAGGGTCGCGGGGGGCTGTCATAGGGCGAAAGGCGGGGTACACCCTGGACAGGTCGCCAGTCTGTCGCAGGGCTGATGGTGGAATTGAACTCAGGACCTTCTTGCTGTGCGGCAACAGTGCTAACCACCGTGCCACCGTGCGTTATTTAATTATGTATTTATTTAATTTATTCTGGCACAGCAGAGAGTTCAATTCGGTCTGCCAGACGGCTGTGGAAAATGTGAAGGAGGGCATAGATTTTTCATGTCTAACTGCAACTATTTTTTTTTTTTACAGCTTTTCTTGCTGAGAAAGATCTCTCTCGTGGGCTATTCATACCACGCCATAGTAATTACGTAATGAATAAAATATTAAAACAGAAAAATTCAATTTTTTTCACTGTTTAATATAGAAATTTCTTTCTTTTTTTTGTACAATGGATCTATGTGAAGGAAAAAGGACATTTACTATGAATGATGTAGATTATACATCTCAGCAGTGAGCTACCAGAACTCTGTAATTTTGTATTTATTCATGATGGAAGATTTCTTACATTTACTGCAGCAGTTATCCTCATTTGACTTCATCAGTCTTGAGAATTTAATTTCTCCCTTTCTATCTCATCCAGTTGCTTTTCTTTGCCCCATTTTCCCTGTATATTAAATATGCCTTCCCTCTGACCCTTGTCCCACCTCCAATGCTTTTACATTCATTTTACTTAGTGCCAGCTCCACTGTTCCCTGTTTAAGTGCCTGTTTTACCCCAGTGTCCCAAATTAGCTCAGTCACCTTGTCCTTTGTTTTTGACTAGGTGAAACTAGGGTGCTTCATACAGTAAATTTGGCTGGCTGTTTGAAGTAAACTGATGTAGGCTGGTTAAAGCAAAAGACCTCTTTTTCTTCATATGAGTTTTCTATCACTTTTTAATGGATTTTAATGGATGTCTTTTGACTGTGGGAGGTATCCAGAGTACCAAGAAAGAACCCACCCAGGCACAGGAGCAGGCAACAGTGCTAACCACTGCACCAACATGTCACCGTGCCATAAATTAACCATAATGCATAATTCACAGACACACCACTTTGCCATTGACAAGCCTTTATTCATTATCCAGCTTCAGTTCATACCTTTGTGGTGTCCAGGTCGCTGCTAGGCAACCTGTTCATCCTGTTTGCACATACAACTGGTCAGATCAAAGTCATAACTTACTCGATAACAATGGATGAAACTAGAACAGCATTTGGCAGCACCAGCCATGTGAACATAAACAACATAGTCAAAATAAAACCCCTTTCTCTGCAAGTATTGCACATTATAGAATTTAAGCAAACAGCTAATAAACAGAAAACAAAAGAGGTGTTCGTTATCACAATAATGCAATATGCATTATTTCACTTGAGTCTAAAAACCTTTATCAACTTCTCATTGATAGTCAAAACTGCATATATCCCATACATCACTGCAGAGGTGTACAGCTGCAATAACATATAGCTGAAGATCTTTTCATGCAGGCAAAACGAATAAGATTTCTGATTCTAATCAAGAACTTCTGCATAATTTTTCAGAGAACTGAGAAAAACCAAGACACACATTGCTTTAATCAATGAAAACCTTTTGAAGTTTGAAGGGCTCTTAAACCACCATAGCGCTGCATATGATCCTGCAGAAATGTTTCCTTAGACATGTTAGAGTTGTGGAATAAAGTGATGGACCACTCTGAAGCCCACCATTTGTCCACAAGTTCTCCTTTAATGCTTCCAGCATAGCATCAGAAGAACATCAGAAGTTAGGTAAGACATCATTTCAATAAAAATGTCAGAGTCGTGTCAGATATATGCCGTACTCGTCAAAGAACTGTGCTTGTATTGGAGTGATGTGGTGCAGAATATTCACGTGTTTGTAGAAAGACAAAGAGACGGCTGCCTAAGGAAAATAAACAAAATAAGCTCTTTGATTTTAACAACTCCTGCAGATTCTGCTGAGCAGCTTATCTCCAGAGAAACATCTCTAACAAGTGACTACGCTTGCTCTGATGAACTTTATTGACCTGTATGTTGCCTAGAGTGGATTTAAAGTTAACAGCAGGAGATAGGTCATTAGCATCCCGTGACATCTTGCTAGCTTCTCTTGTCTTTTAAACTTGTCTTTATATGTTGATCAAAAAGAACAAACCTTAATATCTGTTCCAATATTATTCCCTGTCATTTGCCAAAAGAAGTAGGACAGAGGACAAAAATCTATGAGATGGAAATTGTTTTACGTAGTGGATTTATATTGTACCTCAGTGCTTTAGGCTTGGCTTGATGTAAACCACACATGCTGTGTTTGTGGTGAGGCACAGATCAATATGCACATAAATTTAAAGCCCCTTTCAGACATGCACTCCTTACAGTCTGGCAACATCTGAACCTTAGGCTTCCTGCCTAAGAAATAGCCAAGACAGAATCCAGAAATCAGCAGACTTCAGTTGTTTTAGGCTTTGGTTCACAACAGTGACTTCAGAAAAGAAGATATCTCCTTTCAGCTGACAACCTAAAACACCACAGCAGCATCTCCACACTGATACACAAGCTCTGCCATGCAAATCAATATATAATTTTTTATGATTTTTCTTCTGGATTTTTGGTTCATATTCTGTCTCTCTCCATTGAGCAAGGGATCAAATGATTATTACCCCCACAGTATGTCTGAGGCTCTGTTAGTGTGGTGGTTTACACATGTGTGCTTGCCAAGCAAAATGTTTCAGATTCACATCCAGCTGGTGATACAAACTCCTCTTTGGGATTGAGTCAGGAAAGAAAACAGATCATACATCCAGAGCTACCTGCTGTGGTGAACCCTTTGGGATAAGGGACCAACTGAAAGAAGTGATTTATGTGATGAACATGAAAAGTAAAATGACTTTTGCGTCAATGACACACTAGGTAAAGCCAGTGGGAATCCAATGTCTGAAAAGGGCTCAATGCGTTTTATGTTTTGTAGATAATCAGCAGTCTCACTTCTTAACTGATGGTGTGATAGCGTCAACAAAAGCTGCTCTGCTGAGTACAAATACATCTGTGTGCCACATCTTTTTTCTTCTAAAACTAAAGGCTTTTGCACGTCTCCTTAAAATAAATCCAGAGAGACTGTACGCTTCCCGATGCTACAACTGGTACAGCAGCAAACACTGTCTGCACACTGGCTACGAAGTAACACAGAACGCCGACTGTGGCTGTGAAGTATGTGTGAAAAGTGTTTGAATCTAATACTACTGAGAGGAGAGGGGAGTCTGCTAGAAAATGATCTACAGTGAGCACTGGCACTTGGACATTTATTATCTTAACAATGACTAAGCACAGAACAAAGGGCTGCTGTTCCAGTTTGTGTTGGTGCTTTTGTTTGTGTGGCGCCATCTTCTTCATCCCCTTACAGTCTTTTGGTTTCTGCCAAATAGCAGAGTCCGCTTAGGTTTCGACCTTCCCATATGTCCCCTCTGGAGGGCGGTATTGTTTGGGAAAGGCCTTAAGCTGGAGGGCGTTAAAGGCATATTTACGACATCCCACATTCTTCATGGTGTTCTCTCTCCTGCAGCCCTCGCTGTGAGACAGAAGTCATACTTTTTTTTTTCTTTTCCCTTTTTTGGCAAATTACTATTTTTCCAGTGTGTTTTAGGTGTAGATACTGACCTGCGCATACAGTCCAAGGCCTGATAGAAGACCTGTGGGGCCAGGGCGTGCTCCTGCTGCAGGATCTGACACTGTTCCAGGGTCACAGACATGGCTGTGCGGTCCTTAGCGCTCTTACAGCTGGTAAAACGCACTCCGTTCAAGCGGCGACACACCTTTGGGGATTCGGAGGAAGAGATTAGAAGAAGGAGGCAGAGCTTTTACGCCTCAGGGGCTAGAATTAGAGGCAGTGATGATGAGTCTACCTCAGCTGCTTGCCACAGGATCTCCACGTTCTTGTTCTTCTTGGTGTTCACGTTCTGGCTCAGCAGTTTGAGCAGCTCGGGCACGCTGGTGGTACTACGAGAGCGAGGGAGACCTGAGGAGATGGCAGAGGACGAGTGGTGAGCAAAGAACAAAAAAAAAGGGGGGGAAATACACTTTTCTCACTAATAAATTATGTATTTCACTCACAGTCTTCTGGAAGGACCTCTTTAAACTGGTCGTAGTATGAGCTGAGGCGAGTCATGCTTTCCATGTTGATGACATCTTGCAGCGATGTGTCTCCGAACCTGCACACACGCATGATTTAAGAGTTAAAAGTTTTCATTAATATAACACATAGCCTGCTGCTGTCTGGCTTTTCTGTACTGAAGGAGGTTCACTTCCAGCACAGCCATTCAAAGTTTAATGCAACATCAATAAAAACGAGCGCACATATGTATCAACCCAGTTTTTAAATGTTAGTAACTTAAAATCTCATCTTTACAGTCATTTTTTAAGAAAAATCAAAATTTGTTGTCTAGCAAGAGAGAACATTTATGCAGTGACCATGCAGTGAACAAGCCTCATTCAGCCAGAGGTTTAAAAATATGCTTTAAAGCCGAATGTGCTGCTCACTGGCCTTTTTGCGACTGACCTATCAAGCTTGGCATGGGTATCTCTTTCTACCTTTCCTGCCCTCTAGTCTCAGTGACTCACTTCTCAGCCAGAGTCTGCTGTTCGTTAATGCCAACGTTGAACAGGACGGGCTGAACTCGCAGCAGCATCCCATTTTGGATCTCTCGTGGCAGCATGTCAAACATCGCCCCGGGCATCGGGACCCTGACGTTAAAGCCGCTCCTGTTTCCCGTAATTACCGGCAGCATGTCGGGGCTGAAACCAGAAGTTGCCTGGGTAACTTTAAAGGTGACATTTCTCAGGTCCATCACTCCGACGCTCATGTCCTCCAACATGGCCAGCTCCTCGCCTTCATTTATGTGGCAAAGGAAGAACAAAATCAGGGCATGGACAGGGAGTCAATTCTGATTGACTTTTAATATTAAAAGACATTAAAAACCACAAAACTTAGTTTGCTAAAGGAAGCTTTGTAACCAGTTTTATATTAGTTTTTCAGCAGCTTTTGAATTTTTGTACCTCTAAACGGATCCTAAGTCAACTATTACCTTTAAAAAAATTATACTATAGAAATTATAGTTTTTTCATTCTTATTATTATTTGAAGTGCAATGCTTTGAAAATAATTTTACTAAAAATAATAATAACAATATTTTCTGTGTAATTTCATGGAGATCATTAGTGGAAGATGCACACAGTCTTTTGTGATTTTACATATTTCTATATACACAAACATGCACAAACAAAGTTACCATAAGTGCTGAGCAGGCCCTCATACTGCACCAGCAGGCCGATGGTGTGCAGCTGCCTGAGGAAGCCTGAGTCACAGAGGCAGTTCCTCAGCTTCAAAATGAAGCCGCAGATCAGAGCGGTGAGCTGTAAACGGCACACATCACATCATCACAATCGTTGAGTAATGACAAACGTCCAAGCCTACACGTGCACGGGTTTCATGCACTGTACATGTAACAGTCATAGCAGTTAGCGGCAGACCGTCTGGCAGAAGACGACGTCGCGGCGGTACTGCAGGGTGAGGCTCATGGCGATGGTGGGGGCGCTGTCCTGCATCAGCAGAAACACCATGGCTTTCTTGGCTTTGTCGCTCATCAGAGACACGCAATCTGTCAGCGTGGTGAGGAGAGGATACAGGGCGTCGCTCCACTCACCTGCAGGGATTTGAGAGGACATTTCTATCAGAAATCCTGAAATAGCCTGAACAAATGGCTGAAGTAATAGCTATACACACAACCCCACAGTGTCTGCAAATATAAAATGATTTGTGCAGTTTTCATTAAACATCTTTCTTTTTTATGGTTTATTTAAAAATAGCAATAATTTGGAGGACGAACAAAAGAATTACAGAGAAAAAAAAAGGGTTTTTTTGCCTGCATCAGTCAAACATCAGTGTAAAAGTGAGAGATCTCTCCTGATTCTATCAGATGTTGCTGCTTTTTGCAGAAACTATCACATCGCTGCTATCCTGGCTCTCTCCACAGTCTCACTATAGGCTTTTATCATTTAATTTAATACTGATCACTCTCAAAGCAGGTCTAGATCTGGGCCCAGGCTATGTAGCAGAAACATTTTATTTAACCAGTTAGCAGCCTCAGGTCCTGCAGCCCTCCTGGCTGTTCCAAAGTTGAGACTGAGAATGTTGAAGACACCGTGTTTTTGCCTCCTCTTTTAAAGATCTGCTTACATGTGACATTACATGTGATGTCTTTTTCCTTCTAATTACAGTTGTGTGTGTTTTTTAATCTACTCTGCCTCTTTTTAATCATCGGTTCTTGCACTGTGATACTTTTTCATGTACCTACTGTTCGTAAAGGAAACAGTGCTCCTACCTGGGGATGACTTTTCAACCTCTGGGCTGCTTTCTGCAAATGAGAGAACATAAAAATGTTTGGATACGGACAGATTTCCACTTGTACTTGTATCTTAAAGATTTATTTCAGCTGTTAAACAATAGAGATGATTAACAGGACTGAGACAGCATGCCAGGGTCTGCTTCAGGATAGTTGAGAGGGATGATAATGATGATGACGTCTGGAGACTCCTGAAAGTTTATACCTGTACCTTTGTTCGTATTAGACGGCTGAGCTCACTCAGTACGTGGATTCATGCAAAAATCCACGTCTTGTCTACGTGCGTTTACCTTTCTTAGCGTTACCCGGCTCGTCACTGGCGAGCAGGAAGACGTCCTCAGAGCTGCTGTCACTCTGGAGTTTGTCCCGCTGCAGCAGCCTGTCCACTCTCTGGATCACACACTCCAAGCTTTTATCCACGTTTAGCCAAATCTTCTCCTGCACAAATAACCATCAATCAAATCAAACATATATACATGCATATAAAAAACATTATTAACCAAAAGTGGCAGATGGACTCCTCTCTTACCCACTCCTCTTCATGCAAATCTGCCTGCATGGAAGCGCGCTTGTTTTTAGTCCCTTCACTGCCCTCCAGAGGAGCTGTGTGGCGAGAGGGTGAGGTGGTAGCACGAGAGGGCGAGGTGGGGTGACGAGAGGGGGAGCGGGACGGAGAGCGAGAGGAGGGCGAGAGGGAGGAGGAGGATGGCGACGGGGTGCTTTGCTGAGAGAACTCTGGGCGGGCTGCTGCCAGAGCCACGATGGCTGTGGACAGCAGCTTGGAGTCGCACACGGTCACGAGCTGACGAGTCTACAGGAGCAGCGGTGCAGGACAGACGGAGACGGATAAGTTATACTGAGAAATGTTACACTACAGACATTACATGAAAGCACGTTAACACATTAACATTTATTAACTGGCTCTTAAAGGTAATAAAATGAAGCTGAATAAATTTTTCATCCTGGTCAGTCTGTGTTTGTGTGAGTCAGAGGTTGCCTGGCAGTCACAGTGATGTCAGCATTGTCGTGATATATAGTGCTAGTGCACTGGCTGTAATCTGCAACATCATTCATTTATTATTTTTTCATTTCTCTGTGGTTTCAGTGCCCTCTCCTGTGTGTCTCTTCCAGTCACTTCCTGTTTTATTTTGAAGGTTTTTTCTTTACGTCACCTTTTATGTTTTTACTCTGTGCTTTTCTCTGCTTGGTGTGGATTTAATCTGTGTGAGTTCCCTCAGTCCTTGTTAGTTTGTCAGGTTTTTAGAATCCTTTCCTGTATTTTCTTTTAATTCTAATGAATCTTTAACTCTAATGACCTTTTTATCTTAATGTTGCAATTTTTATTAACTGGTCTTCAAAAATAGTTCTCCAGGCTTTCTGAAAGTCTTTCAAAGTATTTCTTTGGAGACTTTCAGTCCAGTCCTTGTACCTGACTGTTGACAGATGAATGTGTTTTTGGCTGTTAAGCCCATTAACACTGACCTATTAATCATTCAAGCACAAAAAAGGAACCTAAATCAAGGGATGAACCGGTGTTGTGTTTACATATAACATAAAACTGAAGAGCTGATTCTAATTCGCAAATTTAGGCACTAATCACAAAACACATAATTTCTTTCCATTACTTTTGTTAAATTTGTCAAAATGCCAAATATAACACTGTTTGACAGGCATAAAATAGCACTTTTGAAAATCGTATATGATTATATGGTGGCTTAAGACTTTTGCACAGTACTGTACATATTAAGTATCCCTGCAGTTCAGTCTTACCTTCTCTGTTAGGATGGCCAGAGTTCTCTCCAAAGCATTGGCTGAGCGCTCCTTGGCAGCTCGGGACAGACGTTCAGTGTAGTAACACACTTGTGTCTTAAGAGTGTTAATCTGACCAATCAGCTCCTTTGCTTTTACAACATCCTGAGGCTGGTATGCCATTGCTTTAGAGCTGGAGCCAGCAGAGCAGCAGGCGTGCATTGATGCGTGTGCAAGAAAGAAAAAGAGGTTACTTGAGAAACAAGTGTGGTTTGGTTTTATCCACTTTTAAAGCTTGTAATAGGATTTAGAGAACCTCACCCCTCCTCTCCATGGGTTCTGATTGAATTAAAAAAAAAAAAGGTTTGTTATAAACTTCAAATGAAAAACAACCACCAAATCCTCACGCAAGTTTCAAACAACTCACTGTTTCCTGGCTTCTTCGAGCTTGTGCAGCAGCTTTCGGAGACCGCAGCCTTTAAAGCCTTGATGATGTGCTGCGGGCGCACCAATAGTTACTACGTCGTACGTCCGGTCTGATTAAAGGTTGGAAAATAAAATTAAGAAGGGAGGAAATCCATGAAAAACATGAATATTAAGTTACAGAAAGCATGCATTAAACATTTGTGGACAAATTACCGTAACCAGACTCTCCCTGTACTCTCATCCTCTGGATATGCAGGTTAGTGGGGATGAACTCCAACTTCCTCTCAGCTTTCAAGGTGCTAGACTTAAATGACGGACCTGTGGGGCAGCAGAAATGAGAAAAAGCAGTTGTTTGTGATTCTGTGTAAGGAAGATGGAGAAAATAATGATTAAAAACCGCTAACAGCTGCACATGATGTCAGAAAGGCTATATTTTCAATGTTGTAACATTTATCTTATTAGGGGGTTGATGCTGTTTACTTCCTGACATCAGGAAACATCCCCAATTGTAAAACATTTTGGTCACATTGTGCAAGACTAATTTTGACATTTAAAATCAGTGTGATGGCCCTTTACAATGTATATTATGGAACTAACCCTTATATTCATGCAGGTCACTTATGGTCTCCTGGTAGGTGAGGATGATGGTCTGGTACTGAGTAATGATCTGCCTCCTGAGGTTCTCCCAGCATGGAGACAGCTCACCCAGTTCTTCCAGCTCGCACACCCTGCACATGCAGTAACAATCAGTGCATCCAGCTGATGCACGGAGCAGCTCACAGAGTGCGTTTTGTGCTGCTCATTCAGTTATAAACTGAACGAGCAAATGAACATAACAGTAAAGCAGTTACAGACATTAAAGTCAACCATTAAGGGAAAGCCTGCGGATATCTCTTCAAACCATTTTCTCTAACCTTTGCCATTTTTGGGGTTCGGAGTACTAAGCAGCATTTTACCCTCAAGCAGTTATTATTTAATCTAGTCTCTAATCTCTATCTCTAATTTAATCTAGAAGAGCTTCACAAATCTAACAAAAACACAATAAGAATGCAAAGTTAAAGGAGCAAATAACACCACAAATAAATAAATTACAGTAATTAGTAATTTACATGGACTAATTTATATGGGATGACCTGTGTCACCTTTATTGGAAAGCTCAAACATGAGTACCCCGGATCCTACAGTATCAGAGAGAAAACTCCTACAATCAAATCCCCTTTTAACAGGAAGAAACCTCCAACAAAACCAGGGTCAGGGAGTAGAAGCCATCTGCTGTCACGTCACCAGTTCGGGTTGAGGGGAAAGAAACAAAGAGAGGATACAGCAGTGGCATATTAACATATGGGGAGTCTTGCAGCAGTCTGAGGATACAGCAGTACAACTAAGGGATGACCTTGTGAGGAGAAGGACTTTAAATTCAGTCATCGGTTTAGAAGGAGCCAACGAAGAGAAGCAAATATAGGAGAAATACGATCTCTCATCCCTGTCAGTACTCTTGCTGCATCACTCTGAGAAAGGATGTTTCTAATTTTAGCAGCATTGCATAGGTGAAAGAAAGCAGCCCTGCATATTTGTGCAATGTGTGCAATGAAGGGCAAATCCTGATATATAAAAATAACTTCAGGATTTCTTACAGTGTTACTGAAGGTCAGGGTAATGTCATCCAGAGTAAGTATCTAGTTAGACGGCATCTTTCTGACTCTTTAGGGTCGAGTACAATCACGTCATTCTTGTCTGAATTTAGCAGAAGAAAATCACAGGATGCATTTATGTCTTTAAGACATGCCTGTAGTTAAATAAGTGATTTGCATCGACTGGCTACTGCATTATCTGCATATCATAGATGATACTTACATATTACTGTGTATCATCTGCAAAATGTGTGCAATGTTTTCTAACAACACTGCCCAAGGGAAACCTGTATCAGATGAAAAGAAAACTACCTGTTTACATGCACAAACTGGAATCTATCAGATTCCCCCCCCCCCAAGTGTCTGTATTAAATAGCTTTGTTTCATGTCTTAATATTTATGACCTAAACAAACTGTGATCTTAAAAGACTGCTTTGACTTCAGCATCAAATTACTGCATTTTTAGAGAAGGGGGATAAAAAGAGATGTATTCATATAAATTCATCAAGCTGAAGCCAAATCACTACTTACAGCCTTCAGACGTGCAGAATTTATTTTGTGTGGATGATTACATTTTATACGTACAGACAATTGTGTCCGCTACATAGCATTAGGTACTGCTGGCTACATAATATGACCATTAAAAAAAATAAATTACATTAACTTACTTGTACAAGTTTAAGTTTTTCTTACACAGAGCAAACAAACTGGGTTGCTACGACAACTACAGCACTTTGATCCCCTCAATCAAACAGGACATAATAACATTTTGATGTAAAATTGTAAAGAATTCCATCAATTACAGTCTGAAGTCCAAACCAGAATCAAACCATTTGAACAATTACAGAAATAAGACTGAAGAAAATAACCAGGAGAAACACTGAAGCAGTACTCTGACTTCAGCAGGTCTACACTGTCTGTGTTTAGCCAATATGGAGAAAAGCGACAATGCAACAGGCGAAGTAACAGTTTAATGCATCATCTCAGGCCTGAATACCTTTTTATTTACCTACAGTTTGTATGACACAACCTTGTGACTATTATACAGATGCTTGCTAATATTTGTTCTCAGTGTTGAGTGACTGTATTTACTGAAACAGCTAAAACGGTTCAGTTGTGTGAGTTAAGACCTATATTTTTGAGTGTTTACAGCATTGGGATGGGTCAGTATTTTTACCTGTCACATGTATACTTTGTGTTTTTCAGTCACTTGAAACAAATGAGCCGGATTTTGCTGCCCAGCAACACGCACATGCTCCCAACAGCATGCTGCACAGCCTGCAACAAGCCCTTCTAGACTCAAAGAAGGAAAACCAGGAGGTGGCCGCAGAAAATGCTGCTTTGAGGCAGCAGCTCACCAGAAAAGAGATCAGCTGGGAGAAAGAAAGAAAGAAGCTGCTTATGTTGCTAGGAGGCATTAACAAAGAAATAGCCTCTAAGACTGAGGATATTGGGAGACAAACTAAACCAATCAAGAATCTTCTCAGTCCATGAACAAAACGATTCATTGCAAACAAAGACACTGAAACCAATAAACTGGCTTAAAATCATTCACTGATCAATGCGTGGGTACACAGATAGATGGATGGCAAAACATCTGCTTACTAGGCATCACCTAAGCTAATTTGAATCTCTGCTCCTACACATGTTTGTGAAGTTGTGGAGTATTTAAAATGTAAAAGCTAACTGTACAAACAAGAAGCATGTGCCAACCAAACATGCTAGTTTCACCTGATAGCTTAGCGATCCAGCCTCCTATCCAAATGTGATCACTTACAGCTTCAAAATGCCAAGAAGGTAAAAACTAAACCAGAGGCTTCAAAATCCACAAACCAACTGGCGACAATACGGAACCACGTCCATCTTTTATATACAGTCTATGGTAGCACGCAGAGAACGCTTTCTTAAAAGGTTCGCATTTATTAGATGTTGACATCACTTCAAAAAGCATCAACACATCTTTCACATTATACCTGACAGCATCCTCCTCCAGCAGCAGTTTGACATACTGTCGAGGAATATGCAGGGAGAGGACGCTCTCTGCCATCTGCTCCAGGATCCGCAGGTGGTTACCATCCGTAGTGGGGAAACGGTACGTCCGTGACATGACGCCGCCAAACACTAAAACAAGGAAAAATATAAATGAGCACTGCCATTGTTACTGCCAGCAAACTACATGTTACTGGTTGTGAAACTTTCCCATAACTCGGAGTAGCAACAGCTCACATAAGAGTTCACTCACCAGCCTTCAGCAGCGGATCTTTACACAAAGAGGACGACTTGGATTTGATGCCCATGGATTCAGTTAGGCTTTCATCCACAGGCAGAACCATCTGAGGCACACATAAACAACAATGTTTGCATAAAGAAGGATGTGCTGCTGACCTTTACATTACCAAAAAAGTCAGAAAAAGCAGGAAGTTCAATAAAATTGTTTTATATTGTTTTAATGAATTCAAGCACATTCACAAGCCCGTGGCTGTTATTCCTGGTATGTTTCATGTACTTTGACATCAGGAAAAAAATTAAAAGTAAAACAGGAAATTGTCTCAATGTATCAATTAACAAAAAATAATACATTTTCATACTTTAATTTCAAATATTGCCACAAACTATAAAACAAAGTCTCATTCGAAAGTCATTTTTGTGAATTCCTACCCTTCCATTAACAGTATCCCCCCTCTGTAATCTTGCGACAGGAGCTCTCTGCTCACGTTTCTCCTCTATCTGCCAGGCAATGACAGTGATGTTGCCCACGCGCTCGTTCTCCGCTGACCTGACAAATCAAGCGATAACCAAGTCAGTGCAACATCCCCAAAAACCCAAATGTGACCTGCAGTTCGTAACACAGAAAAGTCACATTGTGCTCTGCGTGCCTGTTACCTGAGAGTCAGGTGCAGTCTGTGGTGCTTGTCCTGCAGCAGCTCCTTCACGGAGAACATGGCAGAGCCGAGCATGTACATCTGTCACATAAAAGCACACAAACCGAAAGGATTTAGAGGGTTTTACCCAGATGAGCGTCAACTATGAAGGATTTGTTAAAGAAGAGCATTATTTACTTTTGCAATGGAAAATCTAAAGACAGTTTATTGACTTTGTAAGAAATTGTCTTGGCGGGGGTGGGGGGGTTACCGTGCCCTGTGAGCGGTCCTTTACGTCATAGACTGAAAGCTTGACCTGCGTCTGCTGAGTGATCAGAGAGTCCTGAAAGAAAGCTATACTGCTCAGGAAGATGGGGTTACTGGTGCCCTGAAGACAGAGAGACGAGGGGAAAAGGCTGTGTAAGCATCCAACGGCAGGCAGGAAGTGACAGTGAGGTAGAAGGTAGCATACCTCTATGATTTCAGTCTGAGCGTGTTTAGTCCAGAAGGCCTGGGGCGGAGTGGTGCAGCTGACGGCCACAAAGCTGGTCGGCTTACGGTCCAGTGCAGGAGTCACCAGCTCACTGCAGGCTGCAGGGACATTTAAACACAGGCGATTACAAACTGGGGGATTTAACAGTGGGATGGTCTGTAATCTGTAGCAATGGGAGGATTTAAATATAGTATGTTGGAGTAGTTAGTACTTGACAAGCAGCAGCTGTTGAGTAATTCTTTAGTGGATAAAAAATAAATAGGAGCCAGTAATTATGGGGACACATCATGTTTATGAGTTTTTCTTAAACTGACTGAGAATGAAAAAACAAAAACACAGCATCGCAGTCAAATCATCATGTTTTAAAGTAGAATATTTAAACATTTTTAGCCAGTTAATGGTAGTGAGGCAAAATATTTTTTTAAAACTGCTGAACTATTATCCCCTTAGTTTCTGTTTCTGGCCTCATTTCTCTCTCTGTCTTATTTTTTGCTCTCTTACTGCTTATTAGGGAACTTTCTGGCTCTTCAGCTGCGAAACGCTCTTAAATGTTCACTAACTAGCTGACTGACTATCAGCGTTCACTGAAAACAGTGAGCTGAAAACTCACTGCAAAAAAACAAAGATAGTATTTTGGATATAGAGTTCTTATTCAAGATGTTCTCCTCCTTGTTGTTTATCATTTTTCACCTTGACTTTCATGTGTATTAAATCTTTGGTTCATAGTTTCAGTTTAATACTGCTCCTCAGTATTTTCCTGTACCATTCTGTGTCAACTCCACTATTTTAAGTTCATTCATGTGTCCATGTTTCACTTCCTGTTTTATTTTGATACTTGTCTCTAGTGTCCCGTGTTTAACTTTACTTCATTTAACTTCCTCGTCTATCTCATTGTCTATGATGATGTTCACCTGTATCTTGTTAGCTTAACTCTGGGTTTCAGCTTCCTCACCATCTTGCAGACTTTGTAATTCTGGCCTCTCAAATCATCCTAAATAAAGGTTTGTTTTTTGTCTATGTCTGCCTCACTGCATCTGCATCTAGCAATTTATGCTGAGCAGTGGGACGATCTAAAAAATGCTTAAATGCTGCACAGAGTTGAGGATAAGCAGCACCTTACTCCAAAGTCTTAATGACAGATTAGTGTAGCTTTGTAGGATGATGCATCCCTATGTCAAAGGAATCATTTTGAAACACCCAAACAGTGCATTCGAGAAGAGTTAACCAGCTGTGGACTTCAGATAGCTGCAGACATATGATGCATAAATGAGTTTTTGGTTTTGGAGTGTTGGCAGCACTGTGACTTGTTAATATGCTTTAGAGGATTAAGGAACATCAACAGAGACAAAATCCAGAGACAGCAGTGGAAGATGATATGTGGTTTAAGAGTTAAAAAAAAGTTTCAATATTTCCTTATTGTGGGGATTTTTATTGTGCTGTGACTAATTAAATTAACTGCCAAATGAAGTGCTTATGGGTGTCTCCAAGATGGCTGCTGAGTGGTGAGTCCTGCTTCTACAGGGACTCTGATATCAAGCATTAGCTGCATAAATGCTCGTGCATTTGTGGATCGATCAAAATAAAATAATTTGAACACTACCATATTAATTCTAGTAGAACATAATAAACAGTCTGGTGCATCAGTAAGGTGCAGCAACAATATCTACAAACACATCCTGAACATACCCACGCTGAACTCCAGCACCGGCTCATCAGGGTCCTGACTGCTGCCTGTGGGGAAGAGAGCGAAACAGAGATGAGCAGAAGCTCTTTACAGTTTTGTTATCAATGAAGTAAGGTTACCATGGTAGCAGTTACTTGGTTACCTGAGAGAGCCAACCCCATCATCTCAGCAGAGAGATCAAACGTATTAGCCCGGTAGACCGACCATGGCCGATGGCGGGGGCTGCGCTCCTTCCCAGACATGGTGGTTTCAGGTCAGGGCTGAGGATTTTGTTTTTGAGTAAAAAAAGGCCTGAAGAGCAGAACAATGTCGAGCAGGAACAGAGTCAAAACTCTTGCGTAAGCCTTCTTATGACGTGTGTGCGTGTGGATCTGAGCGGTCACACTTTTGTCACTGTGGAACCTGACAGAAAGAAAGAAAACGAGGCAAATCAGACAGAACTGGACATCTTCAGCTCTTTGATACTGACATCAAACTCATCATCACGACAGCAGCTGAGCTCCGAAAAATAGCAATGTGCTCGCAGTTAGTCACATAAAGGAAGCCACTTTGCAGCACACATGCTCAAAATCCGGTTACATTCCTCTTTTTTTTCACAGGGTTAAAGGATGAATAACTAATAATAGCTCGATGATGTTTCCACAGATGCTTCATTCTGAGGCGAACGGCGCTGTAGGTTTTGCAACTCTGTGTCATTGCTCTAAATATTTTTATCCCCATGTTAACGTGCTAATACAGGCGGCGAGAACATTTTCTGAGAGAAAAAGTGAGACTTCACACAGCTGTAGAAAAAAACAGCACTGCAGCACACTGAATTGACGTCCTGATGCTATTCGTGCTTCCTGGTTTTAGACAAACCTAATAACCAACACAGGAACAGGGAGTCAGGTAAAGAAAATCAGAAATGCTCACATAGAAAACAGACGTAACAGAAAAACTCATAATCTCCACAACCTCTCAAACCACGTTCACAAAACTGGCTTGTAGATGTGATGCACTTGTCTAAATCAAGTGATAGGTCTGTACACTGATAATTGCACTATCAGGTTTAAATAGCAACAATGCCGTTTACTTCACTCTGATAGAGCATTTTATTCACAATTTAACTGCAAATACAACAATCACCATTTCACTGCTGACAATACAAAAGAAACAGCACGTAGGGTTTGTTGATTTCCTGCTGATGCTGCACCTGCCAAAATTATTCACTACAGCAGGAAACTAAAGCTGTGCCAAGTGTGCCAGCAGAGGAGATCTGGCTCCAGTGCAACATTAACAATCTCCCCCTGACTTCATCTTCTTCCAACTAACAGAAAGAGACAAAAGATTAAACCACTGCTGATCTAGATCTGTTGGAGACGTGGATCTACATTCACGGGTTATTTTTTATTATCAGTTAATCTGGAAATTATTTTCTTAAATGATTAGTAATAAGTTTATTGTTTGGGTTAACTGTTTTCTTTAACTTTCAGTCTGAAAAACAATTTTTATTCAGGCTAAATGCTTAAAGAAATCAGTGAAACCACAAAAATAATAACATATGGTTAAAAAAAATAGAGCATTGTCGGTATTTTAAGTTAAGTTTTTTAAGCCATCCCTCATTTCTTTATAGTTTATTCACAAGGATCCAGATTTTATTTTAATATTCAACTTTGCAATTGTTCACCAGGCTTTGAGGAAGCCTTTCAAATTATTTCTTTGGACCTTTTTTCATTCGTTTTCAGTCCGGTCTTTGTACCTGATAATATTTAGAGGAAGATTTCTTTGTTTGTTAAGCAATGTTAAGTCATGTCCTTAAGAAACAGGAAAAAATCCAGGAAAGAATGACACGGGGCCTGAGAGATGCATCTGCCTTCAGTTGATCCATGTGCTGCTCCTAGCAGGAGGAGGGACAGTGAGCGTCCACAGCTACCTGTAAAACACGGTGGAGGCTCTGTCGTGGTTTAGGATCACTTCAAAGGATCTTGTCAAAAGGGATGGATTCAGAAAAATACTGTCTGATTTTGATCAACGCTGCACATATTTCAGTAAATCACAGCACCTCCTCTTCCTAGAAAAATATTTTAGAAAAGAGGGCTGACACAGTTCTCCATAGTGAGTACACGTCTCTTCTGGTGTGCAAGTAATTAAAGCTGTTTCTATATCTATTTTTGTCCTGTGAGCTGACACACTGTCGCAATATTGTTTTCTGCAGTAAGCGCTCTCCTTTCAGCAAAGACAGAGGAGAAGAGATTTGAAAGCAAAAAGCCTCGGTAAGGAATACTGTGTGCCAGAAATGCATGAAGCAAACGTGTAATGTTAAGAGAAATGAAAAGGATTCAGCAAGTGGTCCGATGAGCTGCTTCAAATTCCTGTGAGATGTCAGACTCCGTTAACCTCTCTGGTATATGTTTGCTTACACAACTATACAACCTGCCTTTGCTCAGCGCGTTCATCTGTCTCTGTGTGTTGCTGTTTATTTGATGCTACACTGATGAGGGGAGAACATCTGTGTGTGAGTGTTTCTGTCCATTCATGTGTGAAGACCTCTGCAAAGGAAGTCTATTTTTACACATGAATCTCTCTGACGTCACACGACACGTGCAAATGAAAACGCGGCGTCCCGGCGACACACACGCACAGCGCTAGAACTCACCTCACACACATACAGTTCAGTCAGCGTGATTCTCCGTGGTAGTTTAATTCCTGTCTTCACACCTTCATGTGAGATCTAAACAAATGACAATTACAGCATGGATGCTCTGCCTCATTAGGCTGTGTAGGAGTCATTGACAGTGGGGTTGGCATTTAGCACGCTGTAATCGCCACTGCCTGGGGCATTGTGGGAAGCTCTCTAGGAAACCAATAGAGGATCTAACGCAAAGCCACAGGGAGCGAAGGATCATCTTCATTTCATCTGTCTGACGGTCATCAGATACACGCATTTCACATATGTGGGGCTGGAACTAGTGCTGAAACAACCACTTTCCAATCCAATTAAAAGACTTAATCATCATTAGAAGTGATGAATGATAATCACTTACTAAATATTTACGTTTTTACTTTTTCAGCTGCTGTTTTGGCAAAAGATGCTATTTGATGCTGTGAATTTTCCCCATTTTTCCCCACAAATTTCTGCTATATTACACAGAAGGTTCCATTTTCTGAACTTCAGGGTTATATTTTTAAAATGTTTATAAATCCAACCAGCAGTCTAAACCTTCATGTCTGTCACATCTTGAAACAACAGCTCATAGTATAGCTATAGTAGGACAGTGGGAAGCAGAATAAGTAAGTAAATTGTAAATTGCAAGTAAAGTTTACTAGCAATTTACAATCCATACACGCAAAATGAAGTGGGAATTTGGTGGTAAGTTTCACTAAGACTTCCTTTGGATCCTGTTACATTATTTAATTAAACCATTATTTAAGTAGCTTTTCACTCCTTTTCACTCGGTTTGAACTTCAGCAGGTCGCCTCGAGCTAGATCAGCTCATTTATGCTAGCGGAGGAGATTATCCCCACTGCGAGAGTCACCAC